GAGGGGGTGCGAGGGGGGCCGGGGTGCATGGCAGGAAAGCTGGGCTCTGCGTTGGCGTGGCCACAAGCCAGTGCGGGGATTTGGGGGCCCTTGGAGAGAAGAGAACAACTCTGGCTGAGTCAGAGCGTTGGGGCTGGGTGAGGGGGGACAGACAGACGGACAGACACCGTCTCCTCCCTGCTCAGACCGCGCAGCTCTTTGGCAGCTGCTGGTGCCTCTCCGGGCTGTGCCGAGCGCTTGAGCCTGACTTGTCCTGGAGCATCTCCGGCAGTGGTGGGGTGCTGGTGACGCTGGGGACACCCTGGCCAGGGCCACCCTCACGCCAGCTCATGCCTTTCGCAGGTTCCACCTTCCGACCACATGACTCCTTTCCCAAATCCTCGGAAAGGGCTGGCAAGAAGAGGAAGGAGAGGAGGACGACGGTGCTGGGCATCCCCCAGCATGTCCAGAAGGAGCTGGGTAAGCCTCAGGGACAAGGGGATTTTTAGGGTCTGGACTCGTTGCCCAGGCTCTGTTTGCCTTGGCTCAGTGTGTCTGCCTTGGAATAACGCTGGGTTTGTCTCCCCCCGCTCCCAGGTCTCAGGAACAGCCGGGAAGCCAAGGGACGCCCCGACGCTGATGGGCGAGGGCAGGCGGGGCGCGGGGGCAGCCAGGCGCCGCAGCTCTTGCTGAATGGCGGGCAGGTCTCCGGCGACGCCATCCGCATCCCCACCATCGACGGGAAGCTGCAGCCACTGGCTGTCCCCGGGGGCGCCCGCGTCTGCCTGGGAGCCTTGGAAGAGGAGGATGCGGCCCTGCAGAAGCACATCAACCGGGTTTACTATGACGACATGTTGCTGGGGAGGAAGACGGCGGCCAAGCTGTCACCCATGGCGAGGCCAAAGTCACTGGCCGTGCCGGGCATGACCACCAACACCAGCCCTCCAGAGCTGCTGAGCCCCGTCATGTCCATCTCACCCCAGGGTACCTACATGTCCAAGATCATCCCCAACGCCATCCTGCCGCCCACGGTAGACGTGGTGGCCCTGACACGGAGCAGCGTGCGGACACTGAGCCGCTGCAGCTTGGTGTCATCCAGCCCGGCCTCGGTGCGCTCCCTCGCCCGCTTCTCGGAGCGCAGCACCCGCAGCCGTGAGCCCTCCTCCTCCAGCGACAACTGGAGCCACTCACAGTCCACAGAGACCATCGTCTCCAACAGCTCCACCATCTCCTCCCACGGCGGCTCTGGGCAGCCCGAGGCAGGGCCGTGCGGTGAGGCGGACGTGGCGGCTCGCTCCGACACCGACCAAGTCAGCGTCTACAGCTCTGCCAGCTTCGCC